GTCTCAATTGAGACGTTTTTTTCCTGTGCCTTTTTTCTTCGACTTCAAAGTTTGCTTTGAGACGCCTTCTCCTGCGACATTTTTCTTCGGCTAGAATGTTTAATATTTTTTCCTGACCACCGTCTCGAGTTTGAAACATCATGGTTTACTATCACCAACTCGCCTGCACACCACTCAATGTATTTTCACAAATAGCATGGCCCAAACTGGATGCCGAAACAGTGGCTCCTTTCGTGACCCGAAGTACAATAACCAGTTTTCCCGAATAAGCCTCGACGAGATAAGCGGTGAAACCCCTTTTGACGAAGGTCCGAGATTTTAAAGATAACTGTGGTGGAATTTTCTGAGGACCATTGACACTGTGCACTGACCAAGCTTATAGGTAAAATACCAAAAAAGGGGAAAAAAATGTTTCTCGTTTTTTTTTTTTTTTTTTTTTTTTTTTTTGCAGTGGTACATAGGAACTGAGAGTTTATGAGATAAATCCGAATTGTCGAAAAAGTTCCAGGCGGGAGGTTTTCGAAGTTTTCCGGATTTATCCGAAAACACGAAACAATCACCAAACATTGATTGGTGAGATTGGTCTATTGGTGACGGATTTGGTGTGTCCCGTGACGGATATTTTTTTCGCTAACTTTAGCGGGAAAACTAAATGGTTATATAGGTCACGTGACGTCAGGTCACGTGACGTCCATTTCCCTCGCTAAACGTAGTGAGGAAACTGGATTGCTGTGTAGGTCACCAGACGTGAATTTCCCTACTAAACTTAGCCGGTCACTGAATTGTTCCATAGGTCACGTGAAGCTAATTTCTCGCTAAGTGTCTAGCGGGGAAACTAAATAATGTTTTGGCCACAAGACTTGAATTTTCCCGCTAACTGAGCGCGGAAGCGGAGTTGACGTATAGGTCATGAGCCGTCAATTTCCCAAACATGTATAGGTCCCGTGACGTCAGGTGAGTCACGTGACGCCACTTTCCACACTATGTTTAGCTGAAAATGGACAGACGGTCGGGCGGACGGACGGACAACATTTTGGGATGGGGGGGTAGCGTTAAAAAGCATTTCACGCTTTAAAAGCAAAAACCGAAGTTCGGCTGCGGGACAAGCTTTTTGCGACTCCAGCGAACTATTCGGGGTGCGCAGGTCAGGCAAGATGGCGGACGAAAGGAGGCCGTTTTCGTCGTTCAGCACGCCGACCGCCATAAAGTTCTTGCATTTCAGTGTAAAATCAACGTTACATATAAAAGCAAAGCGATTTTTCGACAGTAGAAGACGTCTTCTAGTCAGTGTGTAGGAATGACACGGCGGAAGCATAAGAATAATTACTGGAAACGATGTTTGTTTCTATGCTGTCTAGGAGAACCAAGCAGCGAGAGCAGTCGAGAGTCGAAACGACCTCCTCTCCTAATCTTCACGGCGTTGCCGCTAGCCGTGGTACAACTTGCCATTTATTCTGTATTACGCGATTTTTCTAGCTAAATAGTTTATTCTGTGTATGTTTAAACAGCGGAAAACTAGGCAGCCCCAATAGACGTCTGGTGCATAAGCGTACCAACCGGGGGGGGGGGGGGGGGGGGCGGGGGGGGGGGGCAAGCGCTTGCCCCCCCCCCCCCCAAGTTCTCAGAGTGGGGGGAGCAAGGCATGTGTTTTGCCCCCTCCCCCCCCCCCCCCAAAAAAAAAAAAAAAAAAAAAAAAAACAGCCGTCACTGGGCAGGGCAAATATTCTCCATCGGCGCCCAAGAGACACCACGGGCACCACCCGCGGGGAGGGGGGAGGGGTCTGGTTTGCCCCCCACTCAAAGACAAGTTGGTTCGCCACTGGTCTGGTGTTTCTGCTGCAGATGAAAAAGTTAGCCTGTGCTGTACGACTGTTAGCTAGGGTATTTATTGTGCGTTATGCAGTGGTGGCGCACGACCGCACGCCGGTACGTTATATTAATTTCCGCACAGAGTAAAGCCATGGGGCGAATCCGGGGTCCCCTTGCTGGCCTTTCTTATAGCACGACAAAAATGACCGCTCCGCCCGTCATAAGGCACACGGGAATTAATAAGGACTTTCAGTAGACTCTAAACAAGGGCTTCGTTTTGCTAGCGGGAGCTCGTCCACGTCGTCACTTTGAAGCAAAGATTGAGCAATGGCCCGCTGAGCCCGCTCTCCGCATAATACGATCTACTAAAACCCTCTATTGTCATGCGGACCGATTCTTTGAACTTTGAACTTTATTTCAGCAACATTATGCCGAGCACACCGGACAAAAAGCTAACAGAAGCTAGCTTGACTGGGTCCGGTGCCCTTGCATGTACAGGGAACACAATCATATTTAAACAATCCTAAATATTTCTTACAATATTCAAATCAAACAATTTAAAATGTTCCAATAAAAATTTTAAAATCACCGACATTAGAGAACATTTTTTTTCTTAATTTAACAACACAAAAAAGTACGCAATGTTTTCTTAGTTATACAATGAATATCGATGCGGTTCATTACAATGTTGTTAAGCAATGTAGGTAGATTATGAGCAAGCGACTGCAGTGCATAATTTGTACGGAAATGGGGAACCTTCCAGAATTCTCTACGACGAACATCGAAGACTGATTCACGCTCAGTCAGGTTTGCTAGCTGTGACAAAAAAGCAATAAACTCCAAAGTTGAAAAGGCGTAAGAAAATAGCAAACGATAGTCATAAATACAAGAAACTTTCATGATATTGTAGCTCAAATATAATGGTTCAGCATGTGTGTCGTACGAAACATTAGCAATGAAACGAATAATTTTTTTCTGAAGAGTTATTAGTTTGTTGACGTTACTTTTGGTCGTTGTGCCCCAAACTAAATGGCAGTAGTTGATTTGTGAGCCGAACAGGGCATGATAAATTTGAATCTTAACTTTTGTAGGCAAAAGAGAGCGACAGTGACCGATGATGCCAGCTACCTTTGCCAGTTTGTGAGTTAGAAATTCTATATGATGATCCCATTGCATAAACTCTGAAAAAATTATGCCTAGCGTTTTATGATGACTTACTATTTCAATTTCCTTGTTTCCAATCTTAAGAGCATAACTAGCATCAATATGTTTATTTACAGGTCTAAAAACAATCGCTTTTGTTTTGGTTGTATTTATTTCGAGGCCATTTTTTTCTGACCATAAGAGAAACTTTTCTAAGATAACATTACCTTTAATAATCAGTTCATCGATATTCGTCGCAGAAATAAAAATACTAGAATCATCTGCATACATTATAAAACGTGAGTGTTGACAAATGTTGACGATGTCATTTATGTACACATTGAACAGAAGTGGGCCAAGTATGCTGCCCTGCGGAACACCAGACTTCAATAGTTGCAAAGATGAGGTATTACGATTTATTGAGACACACTGTTTGCGATGTTGTAGATATGATTGAATGAGTGCCAAAGACGTGCCCCGTACACCATAATGGGAAAGTTTATCAAGAAGCGTTGCATGGTTAAGAGAGTCGAAAGCTTTGCTAAAGTCAATAAAAAGTCCCAGTGTCATCTGTCGTTGCTCTATATTTTTTAATATTAGTTCCTTCTGCGTTAACAAGGCGCATTCCGTAGACTTTCCCTTACGGAAGCCAAACTGGAAGTCAGTCAGCACTGAATGTTTATCAAAAAAGTTATCTAAACGACGCAAAATAATTTTTTCTAGCCCTTTGGAAAATATGGGTAGGTCCGATCAAAGCCGTATATTGTGAGAGTTTGGCCATTCATTAATTTGAATAGGCGAGCATCTTGTTTCCAACCCCAGGCCGCGAAACAGCCCCTAGCGGTGGTCGTGAGCTCTAAAAATACGACTCGACTGATTTAAGCCGTTTTAGCGTCGCTAGTTTAAAAAGGTGTAACTCTTGGTGACTGAAAACTTGGCACATCCGAGGTTTACGTCACGTCTATATTCAATGGTAGAATAAACGAACGCGCGTTCCAAACCTGTAGAGGGTTGAAAGTCCGTTTTAAACCCCTTGTGGCTGCTTACGACCTGCTGCGCAGCTTCGCTGACGACCGTAAGCGTCGAAAGCGGCTTAAGAACCGGTTTAGAGTATCTCCGGTCGTAAGCGGTGACGAGTGTGTGAACCAGCAGATATATAGTAATAGTGATGGTGATATTTATTTTATCTCATGAGAGCCGCGTCGTCGTAGAAAGGCAAGCACCTCACACCGCGCGTCCTTGGCGCGGCCAAGGACGCGCGAGGGCTGGGCCCGGCGCTTGAGTGCTGGGCCTGCTTGGACAGAGGTCTATTTTCCCCGTGTCCAGTTTCTCATGTCCTTCTTGTTGCCGAGCGGTATGCACCAATCCCCGGAGATATCACCGCAACGTGCACCTCGGTAGCAGACTATTTGGGTAATACGAAGGAGCACTTCCTGGAGGGAAAGTACGCAGGCCAGCTGGTTAGGAAACATAATTGAAAGAAAACCTGAGACTAGAGGTCCGTTTTTCTATTTGTCCCGGTTTCAGGTCTTCTTTCAAGGATACTTCTTGGCTGTAATATCATGGTGTGGGAGGAGATTGTGGCGCTTCGCTATACCCTTAACGGAGTGACCTGTACGCGCTCTATCAATCAGGAAGTGGCCGGTTTGGTTACTATTGTCATTGAAGTACGTGTTTGTTGTTTTGCTATGTACCGTATTGAAGTTTTTATTTCAGACAAAAAAAAAAGTGTCTGAATTGCAAGGGTAAAAGAGGATAATATTGTCTTCTGACGAGGTCCTAGCACTATATAGATACAGCACGGATCAGAAAAGAAAAAAAACGCTATAAAATTACTCACAGATATGAATGGGACATCCCACACATGGTGTATAATGCGCGTAGACCATGAAGTTGAGGTTCACACTGCAAGTCGTGAGACATAGGTAATATATTGTTAAAGGTTTTTTTTAATATCTGGAGTTAATTCAACTTTGATGTATATGTATATATATATATATATATATAGTTGCTAAAACTGGAGCTTCTGGTAATCGGCTCATGCGCAGTTGGGCCCGTGAAGCACTCCGAACGCCCAGTCCCCTCGGTCCTGTCCTCCGAAGTCGGAGACCCTCACCACCGGGCTCCCCGTCGCTGGGCCGAGCTCGCCCGGATCGCCGCAGGACACCCGCTGGCTCCCCAAACGCCACCTACGACTACTTCGTCCTCAGTCAGCAATGGAGTCCCGGCATCTGTGCCGCCGATTCTCAGGTGGGGCGAGCAAGTCAAAGGTCCACGAAAGACAAAACAAAATACAAACCGTCTTTTTTTCCGACACGCGACATAAGGATATATTGATTAACGCTCAACGATCACGAGGCCACCACAGGACTTATACCAAATTCATACGGCACCATAAAGGTACCTTTGGCAAAGGTACCTATATAAAGGGAGCTGGAGATCGTAATCACACGGTGCCTAAAGGTCCCTTCCGCTAAGGGAGGTCCTGTGTTAAACGGGGCTCGCCGAGCTCCATTTACAGCTACAGGGAGTAGCCTCGGACCAACGAACACAAAATAAAAATCACTAAGATATTAACATATCTTGTTTAATACACGATACCAAATTGAATATATATAAGTAGCAAATGATGAAATGATTGTGAACACAAATGTGATAGAATAATGCATTAAAAAGGAACGCATACCCCAGCTAGAGGAAGCAGTGGCGGCTCGTGGAAAACATTAGTGAGTTTTAGTAGGTCGTGCTTTCCCTTCGCTAAGCCCCTCCGCTCGCCGGAACTCTACAGCCACGGCCATCGGCACGAAGGCGCAGTAACGGTTAATTTTTAGCGGAGGGTTAACGGAGGGGGAAAGCGGTCTACTAAAACTCCCTAATGTCTGCTACAAACCCGAACGCGATGGACCACTGCGAACTTTTTTTGCGAGGTTGTAGACAAGTCGTCGGACTCTCCCGCCCAGGACCTTTTATTTTCGTCGTCATTCATCCCTTCTGTTTGATAGAATGTACAGCCCAGCGCGAAGCGCGAGGCGAGAGCTCTTTAATTCTTTTTCTTCTACGATCTGTATATACAACGAGACGCTTTACACACGCGCCAGATTGAGCCGCCATAGCCGCCCTTCTCTTGTCTTACCGAGATGCCGATCGAGCCACTGAAGCGGGCGTTGACGGGTCTTCACAAGGGCCTATGCTGGGCACAAGAACACAGTAGCATCTAAAATGGCAATAACCTGTCCTGCTGTGGTAATGATGAAGTGAAGCGAACGGAATAAGGGGGAACAAAAACTGAAGGTCAGTTATGGCGGCGCCCATGCACAGCTGCTGTAAAGCGTCTATATGAGAGTCTGTGTCTCACATCTTCCTGTTTCTAACAAGGAAATGTCCGGGGGCGTAAAGTATTGGTCGGACAACACATCTTCCACTTTTTGGACACACTTAGTCTCGATGCCTGTCTCGGATCAGATCCTCGCGGAGTTCTCCAAAGTTGCAGGTGTCCGCTAGGGCATGGAGAGCTACAGCAAAATCTTCGAATGACTCACCGTCAAGCTGAACTCTGGTGTTGAATTTCGCCCGTTCGAAGATGACGTTTCTTCGAGGAATGAAGTACTTGTCGTAGCTTTTGAGCACCATGTCGAAGGTTTTCCGCTCATCGGACGTCAACTTGAACGTGTTAAAAACGTTCTCTGCCTGGGGGCCCATCAGGTACACCAGCGTGTCGACTTGACTCTCCCTTGGACGGTCGCAGAGTCCCGAAGCAGCGCGGTAGCGCAGGACGGCGACGAAAACGTGAACGGGTCAGGCGGCGTTCCGATTACCGCCAGAGCAACAGAGCCGTCCGCGACAAAAATAAATCTAAGCATCTTTTTTTTTTTTTTTTTTAACGGCATTTGAGGTCGCACTATTGCATCTACAGGGTGTCACAAAAGAAAATTTACACGGTCTTTTTTACCGTAAAAATAAACTAGGCATCGCCGAACGTTCATTCTCCGCCCAAAGGTAGAGCTAGAGGTCATAACCAGATGCCAAAGTTTCAGCCCGATCCGATAACTTAATCAAAAGTTATAAGTGATTTTCTGAAAAGTTCAATGGGAAAATGGAGCCCATTTTTGCCCGTTTTCGGTTTCTGGCGCCATAGAGCCCGATGTGTTTAAAAACTCCGTCGACCGCCATTTTCCCATTGAAATTTTCACAAAATCCCTTATAACTTTTGATTAAGTTATCGGATCGGGCTGAAACTTTGGCATCTGGTTATGACCTCTAGCTCTACCTTTGGGCGGAGAATGAGCGTTCGGCGATGCCTAGTTTATTTTTGCGGTAAAAAATACCGTGTAAATTTTCTTTTGTGACACCCTGTATATCATCAATACGTTACACAAAAAAAAAAGAAAAAGAAGACGAAGACACGTTAGTCTATAATGATACTTAACCCGGATCAAGCCTTTTCCGATAACAACGTTGCTTTTGAACGATGTTTGAACGATCGCAGCACTGTAATTGACCACGTCCACTCAAAACTTCGCCCTAGTAGTAGCACCTGCCTCATATTTGCTGGTAAACTGAGCTCATGGTTGTGTAATGAGGTGTTCCCCAAGAGCCTGCTACCTTAGAGAACGGCAATGCTGCGGCGGGTAACGTTCATTCGAAGATAGTTGGTTTCGCAGCAGACGACTCTGCCAGCAGACGACAGCCGTTTCTCCGGGCCTCGCATCTGGCGGAGTGACAGAAACGCTTCCGTGACGTGTTGTCACGTGTCTAGCTCTGACGCTCTTATTGGGTCGCGGGGTCTGTAGCCTTCACAGTTCGCCAAGTTACCTTAAAACGAAGTATAGTGAGTCGCATACCTTCCGTTGATAGTGGAGATACAATGGCACGGACTCTTTTACCGCGCACACTCGAAATAATCTGTCTATGCAAAGTTGGTTGAATGATTCAGCCCAAATGTAAATGAAAATGGACTTAATGGTGATCATGTCCTTGCAGTGAACCCGCAACAAGGAACGTTAAGTAGTTTCTTGCTCATAAAACCCCAGGGAATAGGCAGAGGTAAATGTACACCCGTGAGCGATTGTCACGGTCCGGTGCGGAACGAGAGGGGAAACGCACTCGCCGTAGACCGCAACGTGGGTTCGGACTCCGGCTATCCCACAGTACGTGGGCTCCAGAGACGGGGGGACAAAGACAAGGCACGTGACGAACAAAGCAGTAGAAACATTTAATGAAGGCTATAGTAAGATGGTGACAAAAGTGAAAGGATAATACAGACACAGTCTCAATCAGGTGGAAGCATACAAGAAGAACTTAATAGCTATTGGCAAGACAGAGAGTACACAACAAGAGGAATAAGAACGACACCGCACTTTGGCGCAATCCGGTCCGACGAGGCTCGCAGAGGCGTGGACGCACCTGAGGTCGGTCGCTTGCGACGGGCTCTGTCTGGACGTGGCCGCGGTGCGCCAGAGGCGGGGGTTGTTGGCTTTAGACGCTGTCGCGTCACGGACGGTCGACGCACTGGGCAGTCCAGCAAAGGAAGGCCGCACAGGGTTGGAGCACAGAAGTAGCTGACGTTCAGTGTCCAGACGGGTCTTCCCCTTTACCGCGGTGCCCGAGGCTACGCCCGGAGCCGACAGGAAGAGCGGGTTGCGCTCTCGAACCTTTCAAGTCGACTCCCGCGCCGTTTCTCAGTTACAACCGAACAGCGCTCTTTCCGAACAAAGTAAACAAAACACACCCGCTCCCCTACAATCGCAATACACTCACACACACAAACACACACACACACACAAAAAAAAAAAAGGACCGTCACAGCGGCGAAGACACTTGTTGCCCCCAGCTCCAAAGTCAACACCAAAAACGCTCAACTGGGGCATCTGGCAAACTCATTTCCGAATTCCACGAACTGGTACCGCGCCCAAGCCTCGGGCAAAAGCGTCCCCCGAACGAGAGTCGAAGAGGTCATAAAGAAGTCAAGTTAAGGCTCGTTCACACTCTTGCAACCGAGTACGACCGAAAGAGACCAGACCGGTTTTCTTAGGACCGGATGCGCTGCAGCGGGGCTGGTCCTAAAAGATCGCAAGAGGCTTAAAAACCGGTCTGGTCTCTCTCGGTCGTACTCGGTTGCAAGAGTGTGAACGGGTCTTTAGGGTCCCAGTCGAGACCGGCGAGGTGCTAACTAGCGCCAACGAGGGAGTGTCACACCACCCGCGGTGACCGCATGGCCCCGCAGGCAGCCGACGGGGCGCCCTTTACAATACGCGTGGCCCGGCAGGACCAGGCCGGTTTTTGTGACAGCGATATGAAGGAGAACAGCCCTCTTCTTGTTTTCGACGCTCCTGCAAGTTTTGGAACAAGCTCTGTTCCAGAGGAGGGCAAGAACGCAAAGTTTAGACCCCAAGCCACGTACCATTTTAGACGTTGAGAGTTAATACAGCTTTAGGGAGCCGTAAAACAGGCAAGAAACCAGGTAAGGTGTTTACCTTTACATTGCTGGCGGCTGTACAAAATGCGTTTTCTTAAAAAGCTCGGCGAGCCATAGCAATAGGGTAGACTTTTTTTTTTTCTTTTTGTAGCGTCACAACTGGTGTGTGGAACATTTCGAGAGTATGTGCTGACCGTCTGCGCAGCGCTTTCGTCAAAGCAGATTATGTTAACCAAGAGGCTCCTCAACAAAAAAAAAAAAAAGCTATAGTGACATAATTATTGACATTTGTTTATTTTATTTCGACGTTTAAACTTTTCCTTTGTTTTTCGTTTCAACTTACAGTGCGTTTCCGCCAGCAAGCGGAACTACTGGACGATTCACGGACTGTGGTAGGTTTATCATTTCTTTTCGGGTTAAATATGGCGCACATTTGATGAAGAGCGAACAAGCGAACCATACCCGAGCTAAGCTTTAAAATTGGAAGTTCCATCTGTCGTTGAAGATTCAATGCGTCTAATTAATCGTTCGCTATTTCCATCGATCGCGATTTTTTCTCTTCCTTAGTTAGCCGGTCGTGGGGCCATACTGGGTGCACACGATTGCTCATTTCCGCTGTTTGGTGTCTGGTAAGCCACACAAGAAAGACGGCCTTAAGCCTTTTCGAGGCATGGTTGCCTCACATGTACAGGGTGTCACAAAAGAAAATTTAAGGGGTTTTTTTTTACCGCAAAAATAAACTAGGCATCGCCGAACGCTCGTTCTCCGCCCAAAGGTAGTGCTAGAGGTCACAACCAGATGCCAAAATTTCAGCCCGATCCGATACCTTATTTAAGAGTTATACGTGATTTTCTGGAAATTTCAATAGGAAAATGGTGGCCGACGAAGTTTTCGAATACATGGGGCTCTATGGCACCAGAAACCGAAAACGGGCAAAAATGGGCTTCATTTTTCATTTCAAAAATGGGCTTCATTTTTCATTTTTCCATAGCAATTTTCAGAAAATCACTCAAAACTTTTGTATAAGGTATCGGATCGGGCTGAAACTTTGGCATCTGGTTGTGACCACATATAGCGCTACCTTTGGGCGGAGTATGAGCGTTCGGCAATGCCTAGTTTATTTTTGCGGTAAAAAAAAAAAAAAAAAAAAAAAAAACTGTAAATTTTCTTTTGTGACGCCATGTATATGTGAGCTTCAAACACGTCCGCAGGCGGTTTTTGTGTGACCAGCGTGACGGAAACTACAAGGAAGAAACACGCCTCCCACAGTGTCTGATGTCTGTATTTTGTACGATGTATTAGCCCTGCGACCGCGGATTCCTAGCTGTGAGTGCGTCGAATACAAGCTCTTGTGGTTGTCTGTCTCGTTGCAGGCCAAGTGGAAATTACACCTCTCCCAGTTACTGTCTTGACGAGCGATTCAACGGCCACATATTGGACGTAAGCAATATATTTAAACACGCATTTGACCTCGACATTATTACGACTCTGATTTGATCTCCCGAATTCACAGTTTGTGAAACGAACACGCGATCAATGTCTAAACGGTGACGCAGCATTCGGGTCCAATCATCTGTCTGCACTCGATGTCACTGCGATGGCGTCGAAGCGGCGGTGCACGCGCTTTGGTTATTTTAGGACCATGGTGTTGGTCGAGCACGCTGAGAAGAGATGATTAGTGTAAACTCTGACATTAATGATTTCTTCATAAACCTTTTTCTCCTTTCCTTTTGTGTTCAGTGATAACTCTTGGACACGGGTTGAGGAAAGGCCGTGCGTGCGATGTTTAAGCGGTTTGTCGCATTCTCTTTTCGCGGCTGAGATGAAATAAAATGTACAAGAAATTTATCGGGATTTTTTTTTTGTTTCATTTAGAAGCGGGACACGTGTGCAAATAATTTGTGATAATTAAATTTCTTGGGGCACATATATTCATTTATAACCATAAAAAGGGTTAATTATGTTTAGTGCATCAATATCATCTGTTGGGCTAGTTGGTTAGACATGATCAGATTAAATTAGCGCAAACGTCAAGAGAAGAGAAAGGTAAGACAGGACAGGACAGAGCGCTCTGTCCTGTCCTGTCTTACCTTTCTCTTCTCTTGTCGTTTGCGCTAATTTAATCTGATTATGTTTAGTGTTTGAACAGCGCAAAGAGGACAGGAAGGTAGAAGAGAAGAGGACAGGACGAGCGCTGACTATCAACTGATGCTATTTATTCAGAAGAGGATGAGGTGCGCGAGACTCGAGAGTGCCAAAATGCACTTTTTTCATCAGACACACGCGCGGCAGCTTTTTGCAAGGGAATGGCCTGTGCCAGCAGGCGTCACCTTTTCTTCAACCGAAAGCGCAACCAGAAAACAAAAGAAAGAAAAGAAAGGAAAAGAAAAAAAGAAAAGAAAAAAGAAAAAGGAGAAAAAGCACGTGCTATAGTTTGCTGACCCAGGCGTGGTAACCTTCGCCACCTGGAGACCATTGAGCGTGCGATTGCCGCCTTTCTTCTTTTAGGAGCCTTTGTGTAGATTCTGCGCATTGTGATGTCCAGCGGTCTTCGCCTGATGGTGACCAATGATCTTGGAAAGTGTCAACCAAACTAAGGCCTTTCCCGCACATGCCTAGGTTGCTCTTCAAGGAATTCTATTTCTTTGGCAAGCAAGGTTATTGATGGAGAGCTGATGGCTCCTTCCCCTCTTTTGTATATCGAAAAGGCCTCCACGATCTCCCGCGTCCTAAAGTGTCTTTTTAGGATGGTACATTGACCGAATAAAGGGGAGCACAAACAGTCGCTGCAATGCCTAACCAAGTTACTGCCTGAGGTGTTTCCTATGGAGGCGGCATGTTCCCTCAGTCGATCATTGATACATCTTCCGGTCTGCCCAATGTATGAACGACCGCAGGAGAGAGGTAAGTCATATACAGCACCTTCTGTACATTCCGTGAATTGTCTCGCGTGCTTCTTCCCGCATGGTGTTTGGGAGATGGAGAGGGATGTAGAATTCACCTTTTTGCACATCCGGCCAAGCTTGTTGGGTGCCGAAAACACAACTCTGACTCCTACCTTGGCTGCAGTTTTTTTGAGGCTGTGGGAGATTCCCTGAAGATACGGGATGACTGCCGTGGGTAACTTTTCCTTGGTTACATTTTGACAAGGTTCAGCTTGGCTACGAGACTCTTGTAGAAGCCTCTCCGCCACGCTGCATATAATATGATCTGGGAAGCCCGCATTTTTCAGTCGATTCACTTGAGTGGTGAAGCTACTCGAGACCTGGTGGTGACAAGACCTGTGAAGGGCGTTTTTTATGGCTGCAACCGCAATGCCTCTCTTGACTAGCTTTGAATGTGCAGATGAAAACGGAAGGAAGGATTTTTTAGAGCGGGGCGAATACTTCCAACAGACATGATCTCCGAATAGAAGTGTCAAATCTAAATATCGCAGCTGTTGCTCCTCGGGTAACTCATTTGTCAGAGTGAACGGGCGAAGAGTAGACTTGAACGTATTAAAAATATCTCCCACATCTTTTGATCCAGTGTCATCGGATGGTCTGTACAAGACAAGAAAGTCATCAACGTATCGAAATATTTTGATGACTGACGAGTCCCGGAGTGAAATTTCTAATAATCTGTCATAGAACGCTAGGAGTAGATCACTGAGCGCCGGGGCTATGCATGATCCTATACAAACACCTTCGCGTTGCCGGTAAAACTCACTCCTGAACACTACTGTTGTGGAGCGTAAGTAAAGCATGAGAAGATTCAAGAAGTCCTCAGCTGCGATACCGACTGAGTTCTGAAATTGTAGAGGTCCATATCTATCAATGCCGTCGTTGACTGTTTCACAAATAGAGTCGTGAGGAAGGGAATAGTATAAGTCCTTAATGTCCACAGAGAAGGCCAAAACCTTCCCTTTGGGAAGTTGTTGAAGGTAATCTGACACCATGGACGGTGTTCTGACCAAGTAGGTATCTTCAACTTCCAAGACGAATAAGGACTTCTGGAGGTAGTACCCCAGAAGGCGCTGCCATGTTCCTCGTTCCGAGACAATGACCCGAAAAGGGCAAGCCATCTTGTGTGTCTTGGCCGAAAAGAAGGCCTCCAGGGAAAGGCCTTTGCAATTCCTCACTGATGAAGCGAGTTTCGTTAGATTTAGCCGCTCGCACATCTTGACGGCTTCCTTCTTCGTCTTTTCAGGTTTGTAACTCTTCAATAATGTAAAGTTACTTGTGATGGCCTCCGCGGCCTTCTGATTGTAGATGTCGTCGGGAACTATGGCGAACCCGCCTTCTTTGTCCGACAAGAGCAATCCAACAAGAGCAACAAGGAAGCCGTCAAGATGTGCGAGCGGCTAAATCTAACGAAACTCGCTTCATTAGTGAGGAATTGCAAAGGCCTTTCCCCGGAGGCCTTCTTTTCGGCCAAGACACACAAGATGGCTTGCCCTTTTCGGGTCATTGTCTCGGAACGAGGAACATGGCAGCGCCTTCTGGGGTACTACCTCCAGAAGTCCTTATTCGTCTTGGAAGTTGAAGATCCCTACTTGGTCAGAACACCGTCCATGGTGTCAGATTACCTTCAACAACTTCCCAAAGGGAAGGTTTTGGCCTTCTCTGTGGACATTAAGGACTTATACTATTCCCTTCCTCACGACTCTATTTGTGAAACAGTCAACGACGGCATTGATAGATATGGACCTCTACAATTTCAGAACTCAGTCGGTATCGCAGCTGAGGACTTCTTGAATCTCCTCATGCTTTACTTACGCTCCACAAGAGTAGTGTTCAGGAGTGAGTTTTACCGGCAACGCGAAGGTGTTTGTATAGGATCATGCATAGCCCCGGCGCTCAGTGATCTACTCCTAGCGTTCTATGACAGATTATTAGAAATTTCACTCCGGGACTCGTCAGTCATCAAAATATTTCGATACGTTGATGACTTTCTTGTCTTGTACAGACCATCCGATGACACTGGATCAAAAGATGTGGGAGATATTTTTAATACGTTCAAGTCTACTCTTCGCCCGTTCACTCTGACAAATGAGTTACCCGAGGAGCAACAGCTGCGATTTTTAGATTTGACACTTCTATTCGGAGATCATGTCTGTTGGAAGTATTCGCCCCGCTCTAAAAAATCCTTCCTTCCGTTTTCATCTGCACATTCAAAGCTAGTCAAGAGAGGCATTGCGGTTGCAGCCATAAAAAACGCCCTTCACAGGTCTTGTCACCACCAGGTCTCGAGTAGCTTTACCACTCAAGTGAATCGACTGAAAAATGCGGGCTTCCCAGATCATATTATATGCAGCGTGGCGGAGAGGCTTCTACAAGAGTCTCGTAGCCAAGCTGAACCTTGTCAAAATGTAACCAAGGAAAAGTTACCCACGGCAGTCATCCCGTATCTTCATGGAATCTCCCACAGCCTCAAAAAAACTGCAGCCAAGGTAGGAGTCAGAGTTGTGTTTTCGGCACCCAACAAGCTTGGCCGGATGTGCAAAAAGGTGAATTCTACATCCCTCTCCATCTCCCAAACACCATGCGGGAAGAAGCACGCGAGACAATTCACGGAATGTACAGAAGGTGCTGTATATGACTTACCTCTCTCCTGCGGTCGTTCATACATTGGGCAGACCGGAAGATGTATCAATGATCGACTGAGGGAACATGCCGCCTCCATAGGAAACACCTCAGGCAGTAACTTGGTTAGGCATTGCAGCGACTGTTTGTGCTCCCCTTTATTCGGTCAATGTACCATCCTAAAAAGACACTTTAGGACGCGGGAGATCGTGGAGGCCTTTTCGATATAGAAAAGAGGGGAAGGAGCCATCAGTTCTCCATCAATAACCTTGCTTGCCAAAGAAATAGAATTCCTTGAAGAGCAACCTAGGCATGTGCGGGAAAGGCCTTAGTTTGGTTGACACTTTCCAAGATCATTGGTCACCATCAGGCGAAGACCGCTGGACATCACAATGCGCAGAATCTACACAAAGGCTCCTAAAAGAAGAAAGGCGGCAATCGCACGCTCAATGGTCTCCAGGTGGCGAAGGTTACCACGCCTGGGTCAGCAAACTATAGCACGTGCTTTTTCTCCTTTTTCTTTTTTCTTTTCTTTTTTTCTTTTCCTTTCTTTTCTTTCTTTTGTTTTCTGGTTGCGCTTTCGGTTGAAGAAAAGGTGACGCCTGCTGGCACAGGCCATTCCCTTGCAAAAAGCTGCCGCGCGTGTATCTGATGAAAAAAGTGCATTTTGGCACTCTCGAGTCTCGCGCACCTCATCCTCTTCTGAATAAATAGCATCAGTTGATAGTCAGCGCTCGTCCTGTCCTCTTCTCTTCTATCTTCCTGTCGTCTTTGCGCTGTTCAAACACTAAGTATGAACCAACTAGCCCACCGCAGTACCTTGTTGCGGTTAATTATGTAACCTCGTCATCTCATACTTTAATATTCCACAATGCCGTTTACGTTTGGCTTCGCTGAAGCTTTTTTTTTTTTTTTCTTTTTTTGCTTAAGACCAAAGGGAGTATTCACTGGCGGCCATATCCGTGTGCGCTGCTGCTGAGCGCGTGCCGACGGCGAGCTTTCTGAGTCCTTTTGGAGCGTGCATTTAGCACCATGAAGATTGCCGGTCTTAGCAGGCTATTAATGTGAGCTCGTTCTGAGCATGCGCTCTAAACATCGCCCTCAAATATGGCGTCCAGTGAATACCTCCTATACTAACGTTACTAACAGGATATTCTTTTTTCATAAAAACCTTATTGCATTTCAACATCTAGGAACACATTAAAATGTACCCGAAAACCTCACAATTAAATGCATACATTGTCCTTGGGATACCTAAAGTGGTCTGTTTTGCCTCTCGCGGTGGTCTGCATAGTTTCATTTTTCATTATTGGTAGGGCAATTTTAATGCGCAGCTCAAGTTCGTCTGCTTCTTTTGAAGGGGTACTGGTAACGCCAGAATGCCCAACTCTGATTGGCCCAGATTGAAGGATAGTGGGTAGACCTTAAGGCGGCTTGCTTTGAAGTCTACCCACTATCGTTTAATTAGAGCGAATCAGAACTCAGCGTTCAGGAGTCAACACACCCCTTTCAAAAGAAGCAGACGGACTTGTGCTCCGCATATGCGAGAAATAGGCTCAAGCACCGCTTCCATTTAACTTTCAAAATACACCACAAACACTTATTGGTTCGTGGGACGCACGTGACAATCTCCTGTTCTCCGACTTTCAGCCAATCAAGAGAGACCTGAACAAGTACTGGCCCTCCCTCAATCACGCCGAAGCCCGGTATTTCGCCTTTTGGTAAGACCGTGAACTGGGCAGCTTCGTCTTCGTTAAAGGACCAATGCAACAATATTTGTACTTTGCGCAAATACCGCTTAAAACGGATCCCTAACGTTAATGACCTATGAAACACGCGTTCGTTTTTAACCCCACGCAATAGAAGTTCCAGAAAACAATTTAAGAAAAACGAGCAGCGTTCACCCCCTCAACTCGCAGCCAGAACAAGCGGCCACGTGATCTGGAGCCGATTATATGCCGCCAGTGTTGATCATAGCCACGCGCTGGGGTTGGCAAAGCGCAGGACACGCGCTGAGTTCCAGGCATTGTTATGGCTCGGCTGTTGTCGTCGTTGCAGCGATTGGACACGGGTCAAAACCCGAATGCTTCTCGAGCTAGCAATTGTCACGAGCCCAAGTCGAGTGCCCACGCAATGCTCGGGTCGAATCTATGAACCGCATTCAAATATCGTCACTTGGGTGTACTGGGACCCCCGAGTTACGTCATCAAATTTTGCAAAGGAGAGATTGAATGAAAAGGATCGCTTTTGTCCTTGAAATTACACCGCAACAAAGGAGTTTCTTGGCCAATGGCGTTGCGTGTGAGTATCCTTGAGTCCCAGGTGTGCCAGTAAGCTCGTGTATAGAGAGATACATTCCAATTGAATATCGTTGCACAGCTCCTTTTTAAGTTTTTAAGAGCGTTGACCTCACCATTTCAACATATCATCCATCTCTTCCACTTCGCTAAAATTGTTCGACAAGCAAGTCCGATGAGAGAGAACCCACAGGCCCCTTCACACACTCTCCTTTGCTTAAGTTATGATCGAGTTCTTGTGATCTCTTACGACGAGAGAGAGAGCACACTGACACGCTGGCGTCATCCAGGAGTTGACTCTGGAACTTCATTTCATTAAAGTGAAGTCTCTGCAGCATTCGCGAGACCAAATGAACAATGGTAATCACACTTGCTCATAACACAAGCACGTCCGGCTTTCTACGGCGAGCGCTCGACTGGTCGCGTTCGCAGCAAATAATCCAGTCACGTGGTCAAGGAGTGTCCTGCCCGCGGCCTGTTCACACATACTGTTCAACGCCAAATCGACGCTGAAAAAGACGCCAATGCAGCTCTGATGCTGTGCCGAGTTGTCGGTCTAGCTGCGATGCATCGGCGCTGTATCGCGGCTCACCAACGTCGGCGATGAGTCACGTGTTCCACTGTGGAACCACGTCGGCGATAAGTCACGAGCTGCAGGTCAGAGCGGCGTCAGCGTCGTTTATCGAAAAGGGAACGCTGCTTGATAAAAGGCTCCCCTACATCGCGCGTGAATCATTGGGGCGCGTGTTAACCCCCACGGCCCTTCTCGGCGACCGCCTGCGGCGGCTGATTACAATAATCGACGATTTCTCTATTTTATAAACGGGAGTCTCTAAACCGGCGTTCGTTAAAATGAAGTTCGATAAAATGAATGCCTCTGATCGTTTTGTACATTCTCCGATGGCTCCATCTCACTATAAAGCTAAGACCACATGCAGATATTTCATGAGGGCTAGTGATGAAAGCGTTCTCGACATTTGGGATTTACGTTACACAGACTTCGAGGAACTTGTTTCGTCAGAGACCACAGCAGTAGAACAAGCGTGGGCTGCTTTTAAGATGCTAACACAAGCTGAAATAGAGCGTGTTGTTCCGCTCGGACAAAAAGCAAATTCGTCGAAACCCATGGATCACAACAAATATGACGCAACTGAAACACCATATAAAATGACGAAGAAAGTGACTCGGTTACAAAACGTTTCCCGAGCAACACGCTAAAATAAGGGTGCTGTCCCAGCAGCTTAAAAATGGCGTACTAAACGCAAACAAAAGGGCTACGTTAATGTAACAGTTCACAATTTTGTTAAATCGTCCCCCGAAAAGTTTTGGAAAAACATGCCGCCAAAAAAAGAAAAGGTATCTCCAGCATGATTGTTGAAGAAGGAACTGTCGCCGATGTAAGAAACATGTGCACTTTGTCTAACAATTGTTTCCAGTTGGTTTTCACGCTTGATAACAAAATTATTCACCACTGTGAGCTTCATGCATCACCTCTTCCTGGTATTGACAATGTACGCGTTGTTTGGAGAGGTAGATTTGATCTGCTTTTAATCTTGAATGTCGAAATAATTACCCGGACCTGATGAACTGCCAAACATATTTTTAAACAAATATGCTGAATGCTGCTTTCTTTTCTTGGCAGCCATTAATGAAAATCTCTGTGTTATGAAAGTGTTGTTGTTGTGTGCTGAAAATTTCCATTGTGTTGTTGAAGCTTTCCACGAGACTGGAGATCTGTCGAAATAATTCCCAAAGCAAAGTCAGGAGAAACAACAAATAGACAAAATTATTGTCCAATTTGACTCACAAGTACCAGTTGTAAAATTCGTTAACACGTCCTTGCCAAGCACATTATAACATACGTTGAGAATAATAACATCAGAGGAAGTTGCGAATATTTTGACGAAGACGTTCTATTGTTACGCAATTAATAAAGGTGACTCATGACCACAGTTTATGTATTGACAGGGGTGGGGAAGCATATGTTGTATACTTGGATTCGCCAAGGCTTTCGACCGCGTGACACGCCCAAAGCTGCTTCATAAACTCAACTACATACTGAACAATGATCAAATTGTAACACAGCTTGAAGTTTATTTTATCGGCAGAAAACAGCTTGTCCAATTAAACCATGTACGGTCAGACGACCTATCAGTAATGTCAGGAGTACATCAAGGATATGTCTTAGGTACTCTTGACAGCAGGAGTACGTAGGACACGTACAGTAGTGACGTCAGCCGGAGATTTGAAACTGAAGTCAAAATTAAACGTTTTGTCAACGATGCACTTTTACAATTAAAAAAACAAACATCCAATGATCGGAAGAAATTAAATGAGCGCTTACATAAATTGACCGGTTCGTGCAGCGATTGGCAAATGGAAATCAACAAACACAAAAATGTTTACATGAATGTAACGCGGAAATCAATTCAACTACAGACAGGCCTTTAAAAAGTGTTCAGGAATTTAGATATTTCGGGAGTCTTTAAAATCAAACCTAAAGTGGAATTCACACGTAGACAATGTTCGCAAGAAAGCATTAAACAAAATTTGTAAACTCAGACGAATATTAGCATTTACTACTCCAAAGCTAAAATTAACAGTATATAAAGCAGTAATCTTACGAATGCTCGAATATGCAAGCCCAGTCTAAGAATCATTCACAGACAAAAAGAAAAAAAAAAAACATCCATAAACTTGACAGCACTTAAAGTAAAGCGGTCCGTTTCATTTTGAATGGCTACGTATCTGCAGAGTTCGTTTCCCTACTGAAATCCGCAGCAAACCTCCTTCCTATTAGCGCTAAAATAATGTTGAGCCGAATGAAAGTATTCTTCAACTTGCTACATGGTCAGTATATTATGAAGACTGAAAAATATGTAACCTACGAAAACCCTGATTGTGCGACTAGAACCCAACACACCAAGTACATTATCCTTTCTCGCTTTAACACAGACTATTTTAAGAACTCTTTCTTTGTTAAATCTATTGATCACTGGAACTGCCGGCCAACGAACTTTGTAAACAGAGCGAATTTCAGAATTTATCGATTCCTTGATATTGTATGTGTGACGCTTTGCCAATCTGTATGGTTGTAAGCGCTTGAGAGTGCTAATATAAACTTCAGCCATTCTCCTGCTTCGGCCTCACGGGTGGCAGTTTATTTTTTGAAATAAATAAAACAAATAAAATAAAAATCGTACGACCGAAAAAGAACCTAGTGCGAAAATATTTGAAATTTGACACTGAAAAACACCAGTTAGTACGCTGTATCAACAAATATGCGCTGCGGCTCTCCAGAGTCCGGACAGCATGCTTCCAGCCACGAACGCCACGTACAGCAACGCTACAGTAAGTGACGAAAGCATCTGTGGCAGAAAGTCCTGGAAAAGGCAGAAATTTCCAGAAGAGAGGTCTCTGAGCTCTTTAGGGCATGGTTGCTGTCACTGAAATTTACCCGCGCCACGTGTCTGAACGTATAATATGTCGAAAATTGGAAAAATTCACAAGCAAACGCTGGCAATGAAATAAATGTTCAAGCGACGCATTACGTTAAAAAGCTAAGTTCTTCGGATAATTTCAAGGTACGACGTCTCCCCAGGTCAGGCCAGCAGTATGACAACCGACAAGGGAGCCAATATGCTGAAAACAGTTATCTTAGGAGAAGAATCTGCTGTCCCTCTCGCGGCAGGATCTGAGCTGTCCGAGTCGGAAGACAAGGACGTGCACGTGTACAGTGGCGTCTGAGATGGAGCCTCCTCCCTCGAGGAATTGGAGGGAGTTTTGTTTTTTTAGGTGAGAGACGTCTTCTTCAAGGAATGAGGTGTGCTGCGCACACGCTGCAGCTGGCTGTACATGATGCTCTCAACTCTACAACTACTAGCGACATCGTAGAGAAGGCCCAACAGTGGCGTTAATAAATGAGGTCGCAGACCTTGCTGTCCCCACTTCAGAAGCTGATATGAAGAAGCTCATCCTGGCTTGCGTAACGAGGTGGAGGTCCACCAGGGACATGATGCTACGATTGCTGGAGCTAAGACAGTTCTGCGACGAGCTGATCGTAGACGATGATGAACACCGCCTTACTCAAGAAGACATGGCAATCAATACGCAACGTAGTTGCCTCCCTGGGGCCTATCGAAGTAGCAACAGTGCAGCTTCAAGGGGAGCAACTAGCTGTGGGAGATTCTACGGAGCATGGCTCACGTGTCGAATCGAGACGTCAAAATTGACACCACGGCCGCGAATCAGCTGGCTCCTGCCATGAAAAGGCAAGATAAGTTGTTACTTGGAAGCGACATATTCTGTGCGGCTATATTTTTGGATCCTCGATACCATGTCACATTAACAAGCGAGGAGAGGTCCAGAGCAAAGCAACATCTGCTACTGGGGTGGAAGATGCTTCACGAGCTTAAAGAAGATGCTCAGCAACAGCAACCTCAAGCACCGCGCACGACGGGGAGTTGAGACGTTTTGTGTTGGTCACCTTTTTCGTCCGTCGTCTCCTTTTAGAGCGCAGCTCTTAGGCGGCCGTTTTCGGCTTGAGCGGCGTCGGGCTCGCCGTCAGCGTCGGCGTAACCGCGCGGTGCATTATGGGAAATGTGAATGTCCCATAATGCACCGTGCGAGCCCTCCCCCCCCCCCCCCCGGGTCACGTCCCCCCAAATCACGTGACCGCCCCTACCGGAGGTCACGTGAACCCCCCCTCCCCCCGAGGTCGCGTGACCCCCCCCCCACGTCACATGACCCCCCCCTCTTCCCGAGGTCACGTGACCCCCCACGGGGGGAGATTGAAGAATGAGGGGAGGAGGAGGAGAAGGAGGAAGAGGAGGGGTATACCCTCCCCTCAGTACCCTTCCATCCTCCTCCTCAAGAGCTGTGCTCTAATTCGGCGTTACAGGGAGTTGCAAACGTCTTTTACTTTTTTTCTCTTTGTTTTCTTTTTTTTTTGAAAGAAGGAAAGCTCCATCTGTCTTGATGACGACCTCGAAGCGATTCTCAAGGGGAAAAGAAACGGCTTCCTGAAAGCATGTAGCGACCAATCTTCGATTGTTGGGAAGATTCAGACCCTACTGGACTGCTTTCAAAAGTACTGCGAATTAGCAAGAGTAAACATACCTTGAAATCTGGGGGAAAACAAAAGTCCCAGTGCCCCGTACTCTATTCACTTGCTGCCGTTGCTCTTGAAATAGTACCCTCCACGCAAGTCGGCGTGGAAAGGTCCTTCTCGGGGTTAAACTACTTCCTATCATGCTAACGAAGGCGACTGAGCCCGGACATACCAGATGATATCTTTTCTCTCCGCTCGTTTCACCCACCAAAGAGAAAGCGATCAGTGAAATTAATATTGCCTGCGCATGTAACAATCTTGTAGAGGCGCTCGTCCTATCTTGTAGCACATGGATATAATGTTGTGTTTAATGAATAAAATATTGGTATCCAGCCGCATGCTACGTCTTCAATTTTCGCAGATCATTCCAATAAATAAATGGATTACACAACAGCAATAAATGAGCGTGTATTTTATACTGCAGTAATCCATTTCATGACAGTAGAGGTGTGTGAGTATTCGGTTATCATTTAAACTTTTCCTAGAACCGTTATATGAACCCGTACGAACCAAGTTAAATATTTTCGAACCGTTAGTTTTTCCGCTCTGGAGCTGACCCTGAACCGAATAGAAATGTTTGAACCGTAACTTGAACCGAACAAAAAATTGTTTCGGTTCGACACCCTAGCTGGTGACGGCTTCCGACGCAAGAACACTCTGGAACACTGGCGCCATCTCTCTGTAGCCCTGGAATACCTTCGATCTGCGCATGACTAGACAGAGCGGTATTGCAGCCTGTGCCTGATCAAATATGCGAACTATTCATATTGCACGGTCGTTTATAACATTGTCAGAATTATTTCGAGCACACTTAGAAACAATGACCCGCAAAAAAATGTACTTTGGCGCGACGCAGGATAATCTCAATCAATGATGTCATAATAATCCAAGAATTTATTAAATTTTTGTCTGGCTCACAAATAGTATATAGCTCCAACATCAACAGGAGTTTCAGTAGTTTCAGTAGAGAACATGCAAAACTATCCTTGGTGCATTTGTCAATTTGATCTCTTTGCTTAGTGTTTCAGATCGATAACTGGGTCTTTTGTATTTGAAAGTTTAGATGACTAGACAGGGGCGGATGCAGGAATTTCCTGAGGGAGGGGTCAGGTGTTGGCCAGCGTACCATATGTTTAGGAACCCACTCCCCCTCTCCCTTGTTTAACGCCCTAAATATAACACATGTAAAAATCAAGAGGGGGGTCAGGACATCCGGACCCCCCCTCTAAATCCGACCCTGTGACTAGATTACTTAACGCAGTACCGCATCCTTATGACACTGCGAAAACCCAGAAAGTCACTATGCTGATTTACTAACAGATTTTCTCACTTGCTTTTTTCATGAATCAATTTGATAATGTTGTTGTCGCTTTGCAGGAGGCACCAGTGGCAGAAGCATGGGTCATGCGCTACGGACGTGCCCAAGCTGAACGGAATATTCAACTTTTTCAACTCTACTCTGGCCATATACCACAAGTACAACATCTTCGAGTGAGTAATCCGTGCTCCTCGTTTGATAACAACTTATCGTGCAAAAATAAAAACCGCCATCAACCAATGTTTACGTCTTTTGTGGATTCCGAAGCGGACGTGAACTGCGCGCCACTCTCTCGATTATGCCGGTTAACCTACTGACCGCGAGACACTGCTAAGGGTGAAACCAATCAGTTGGAGCAGAAAAGGTTCAGGTTCGCTGTGCATCTTGACATTTACACTGTGGCACGCGCGGATCTTCCACTGTAAAACGAGCAGGAAAAATCGGCGCATACTCAAAAAAGCTTAAACTTTCACCGAATGTGCAATGAGCAGCTGAGTTTTACCATGCGAAATTTCAACTCGTAGTTTGCTTCCTGTAAAAATAAAAGCAAAAAAAAAAAAAAAGCAACAGTTTTGCCGAAGTCTACGTTGGGCGCATTCACAGACGACGGAGTGTGCGATGCTATTAACTTGTGGCGCCATTTTTCGGTATGCGCAGCGAGTAGACCACGCACTCTGTTGTCTGCTCGCACTTCGGCGCTCTTATTGGAGGATGACTGAAATCTCACCGGTGGCGGGGCGATAACAAGCAGCATGAGACTTTCCTCGCGCTGCGTTTCTTAAGTGGTCAGTGACAATTGTAGCTTTTCGGCAAAAATGCTTGCCGGTCTACTTTCTGACGTAGTATGTGCTGGGTGAATCACCGCCAATTCTGGGCCTTTCATAATAAACACACACGATCTATATCCTTGTCGGGTGCGCGTCGTTTTTGGCGGGAAGATGTATGACGTCCTCCTGCGAAGCAAACTATTTATGTTTGAGTCGTTCTGTCGTCAGTGGCATGGCACTTATGTTTTCTACAACACGTTCTTTTTTTTTTTTTCGGGGGGAGGAGGGGGAGGGTTAAAATTCAAAATGTTTATTTGTCCGTTTGTTTAGCTGTCCGCGCATTTGCCGCTGAATTTAGCGGGGAAATCGACGTCCCGTGAACTGACGTCACATGACCTATACACAAATTTACCAGTTTAGTCTACACGCAAAATTTAGCAGGGAATTTGACATCAGATAACCTAAGCACCGTTTTAGTATCGCCGATAAATTTAGCTGGAAAATTAGTGTCATGTGAACTGACGTCACGGTACCTATACACCAATTCAGCTTTCCCGCTTAACCTAATGCGTAATTTTACATCACGGGACCTATGCACCAAGTCAGTTTCTCCGCTAAGTTTACCCGGCAAATTTATGAAAATGTAGATCATTTTCTTCCCAAAACGACTGACTGAGGTCCTTCTAACCGATCACTTCTTAAATACTGCGCTTCGTGTATTATATTACTTCGAAGATAAAGGGGACTGCCAATTTCATAACCGCCTCATCATCTGTGTTACAGCTTCTTGGCCAACAGCTACATTCGACCAAGTGCCGTGAGGACTTTTTCGGTGAGTGGAGTTGGCGGCAAAAAAAAAAAAAGTGGAAGCCGTTTACAACTCTCTGTAACGCCGAATTAGAGCGCAGCTCTTGAGGAGAAGGAGGGAAGGGTACTGGAGGGGGGGAGGGGTCACGTGACCTGGTTGGGTGTCACGTGACCTCGGGGGGGAAGGGGGGGGGTCCCGTGACCCCACAGGTCACGTGACTCCCTAGAGAAATTTTTCCGCTAGACCTAGCGGGGAATTTAGCGGGGAAATTTACCCACAACGCACCACGAGGTTACGCCGACGACGACGCCGAAGCCGACGGCGACTCCGACGCCGCTCAAGCCGGAAACGGGCGCCTAAGAGCTGCGCTCTAAGACGATGAAATAGGCGATCGTCATTCTCTCGTGACTGAAAGCAAGTGTCCGGAACGTATGTGATAAGCGTTTTACGAGAAACACTTTTAGAGAAGAAAACTTTAAGGTATCCCACATAAACATTAGGAAAGAATAAACACGAAAAAGGGGACGAAACACAAACGAGCAACGGCTCTTTCAGAGCCGTTGTGTCCCTGTTTCGTTTCCTCTTTCGTGTTTATTCTTTCCGAATGTTTACATTTTAGCCCCAACACGCTCGTTATTTCATCACACATCTCACATCTCTCGCGTCTCGTACCTTTTTTTTTACATGAAATTTTGGAACTTTGATTGTATATGTTTTGAAATGCTGGTACTCATCTTAATGCTCTCGTCGCTGGCCCTACCATTAACATTTCGGTGTCTATTTGACCTCTACTGTTTTTATACATTTAAACCATGTTCCCAAATAGGGTAGGTGGCACACACCGCCACACGTTCCAAAGATCTGAGCCCTGGTCACCTATTCATTGTTAATTCTTTTTAGAGTAACTAGACATCTTTAGTCAGTAGCAGATCTCAGAGAGATCTGCCACTCACATGTGTAATTTTTGCTTCAGAAACATCGGAAGCCTTTTTTTTTTGTGCATTGTGCACGTGACGTATACGTAATTTTTTTTTAAATAAAAGGGAACTAAATAAATATAAAGGTGCTAAATTAACAACGACGTGTAGCGAGATAGCGACACCGGATACTTTACTAGAGGTATATATCCCACCCCGCCCAAATCCTTGGCGCGGACCGGTTTTGCCTAGTTCGAAAGACTGGACGCGCCGCTGACTCGGGTATTTCCATTTTGCTTATGAGCAGGGTGGAGGATTAAACTAAAGACGATTTAAATTGTGATTTAAATGATTATCTAAATTTAGATTTTGATCGCACCAATTTGTCTACGAAGATCTAAATCTAACACTTTTCTCCAAAACAATACTGACCATTATTTCTATTTACCCTTCGTATATTCTGTGTCCGTTTTCCAATGGCATTTATTTTTTGCGTCTGTTTCCCATGTGCAAAAAAGGATCGACCAGGATAGGTTTATATTAGGCAGCAATTTAAAAAACATCTCTTAGAGTGATATGAAAGGTTCATCTTTTCTAGCTGAAGGGATCTGAATTACGTAAGTTCGATTTAATTAAGATAGATTTAATTTAAATCAGATAAGTCTGATTTAAATCTAATAAATCTAATTTATTAATTTGTTTGCACAAAAAGAACTGTAATTTTTCTTTTTGCACCCTCCATATGAGGTGCTCTGCCCGGTCTATGGACTTGCGCTTGCCACACAGCTTCCAGACAGCAGAGACAGCCGTCTCTGCTGTCTTGAAGAACTCCGGTGTCTCGGTGCGCCGGCGGCCACCTCCACTCTCCCATGGCGGCGTGCTACTATAGGGCGAGTCACACACTTGGGTCGACTCCGACCGCGTGCAACTGCTTCGGCTTGCGACAGCTGCGTCGGCTCAAACAAAACGAAGCAAAAGCCGGTTTTGTTTCAGTCGACGCCCATTTTGCCATAGCAATCCGTCGTCACAAGCCGTTGCATTTGCACTCGGTCGTACTCGACGCAACTGTGTGAATCGCCGCCGACCGGTTGCGAGGGTTGCTACGGCAACAGCTGATTCGGCTCCAACGCAGCTGTTGCGACGCGGCCGCTGCCATAGCAACCCTCGCACTCGGTCGGACTCAACACAACTATGTGAATCGCCCTTTAAGCGACAGCGTGGAGGGCGCGATGGGCATGCGTTCTTGAACGCGGTTCGCCAACACGGCTGAGGGAGGATTTGACGCTGGAAATGTGCTCTCCAATGTTACTGAGCAGAGTTGGAATGTATTCTCTATAGACTTCGTTTCACCTTCACCATCATCATCATCAGAAATTATTGAACCTCGAAGACCCTTAAGGGCGTTACGCAAGGTACGGGTACAGGCTGGAGAACATCCAGGCGCAGCCGGTGCTACGAGCTGATGAAACCAATCTAACTGCGTCAAAAGTGCACTCTATCATGGCGTTCGTCATGTTTCTCTACGTGTTCTATCATTGCCGAACCAATCGTAAGCAAAAAAGACCCCCAACTTGCTTTGTCCCCTTAGTTGGTAGCGTCAGCTTCGTCCGGACGTAAGCTGAAACGATGTATAGTAAAGTATTCGCCGCCACTAAGAAAAGGGGAGGGAGAGGGGCGATGCAGAGATTCTAGATAATGTCGGCTCTAGAAGGGTTGGCCTTATGTGCTTAGTGAGCGATGGGAGCCCAGTAGGCATTTGGTTGCTTTAGCGAAACGCGTGCGGCCATCCCTTTTCTGCGCATTTCTTACCTACAAGGTACCGGGCGTTTCTTAGAAAAGAGAACAGTGTTCTTCGGCCCGCGTAAACAAACTATGCATACTAGAACGCTCAAACTTCATGATAAAGTGAGAGCGGTTGGAATAGAACGCGAAGGTTTGAGAACATGACGTTTACTTGATCCGAATATATTTGAGAAAGACGAAATGTCCCTATGGGGGGAGCCCACGTTCGCCTAAGCCTAATATATTAAAGCAAGAACCGACATTGCGGGCGCATGTGGGATTTTTATCATCGAAAAACACTTATCAGCAAGAAAGGGAATATTCGCACGTGTTTTTTGCTTATATAAATCCCATACGAGTTTAAAATGCCAGTTCTTCTTCTGGCGATATTAAGCTTAGGTGAACGCTAGCTCATAAAGAAATTTTGTTTTTATCGCTTACTTTTTCATCGAGGTAAGGTCACGTTCTCAAACTTTCGGGTTCTATCCCAGCCGCTATGCGTCACATTCTCGCGGAGTTTGAGCTTTCTTCAATGTATAGTTTATTTTTCCGGGCCGAAAAACACCGTTCTCTTTTCTCGGCGACGCCCTGTACTTCAAGTAAACTCGAACTTTCGTCTTCCGTCAAATTTTGCGAATGCCGTTAAGAGAGCACTAAGAGTAACGGATTCCGGTAAATCGTAAAAACATAAAAATGCAAACATCACTTGACGGACCTGTGTTCGCGAAAGCTCCTGGAACGCTGTCTGTGCCTTATATTCCCATACACAAACAACAAAAATGTCTGATTTCCTGGCTTAAAAATCATCGCCCTAATTATATGTTTTTTTGTTTGTTTTTTTTTACTTTTATCTCTCTCTTTGTTGTGAAGGCTGCGGAGATCAGAAACGCGCTCTCGGACGACATCAGGCAAAAAGTCAACATCGTCTGTCAAAGGGTGCCGGTAAGATATGCCCAAACATAGTTACAAAAAAGCAAAAAAGAAAAAAACAACTGTAGGTATTGATTTATATAACCGGAATATCTGTGCTAGAGAAATATTACAACAAGATGGAAATATAGAATATTATAGTTAGTGTTTAATAAGAAGATGCACCTTCTAAACAAACTTTCCTTCAGAACTATTTTTTGTTTACCTCTGTTTTCAAAACGGCATTTTTTAGGAAGCTGTGCCAACACTGCAGTACTTGCGAAATCAGACCTATGCCCTATCTCTGAAAAATGGTAGCTTGTAATATTTTCAAAATTATTTCAACCTCTCGGTGAATAACTTGAGAAAACATTTGCAGATCAGAAGTTTTCCAGTGCTACCCGTTGAATAGAACCAGTATGTTACCTCGTCGTAACCAGTCAGAAGCGGTCGTAACATTGTCGTTCACAGTCAAACGCGAATCTGTAAATCTGACTTGAGGGTTCATTTATACAGGATTCACAGTTAATTTCACGCGTGTTCTTCATCAGGACTTTGTGATAGAGATGTTTGTAACAGTCTGTATCTCCACGCTTGCTTTGCTTCAGAATGTGGACGGCCCAGTCCTGACAGAGATCCGTTTCTGCTTGGACAAAGAGCTGGCAACCGTCAACTGCCAGGGAAGGAACGGTGGATGCACCAAGCGCAACTATTACTTGCCCAAGAGATGAATAAATACCTGCAGACGACCGCACCGAACGCAAGAAGTATAGTCTGGTTTCTTGTAATCTCGCCACTAAACTGAAACCACCGTTGCCACATTTCATTCCTCTACTCTTTGTTATTGTTATTACTCTTTTTTAACAACTGGTGCCATCACGAAAGTTAGGATAGCAATATTTATTGGCGTGGCGTGTGTGTGTGTTTGGTCTTTTATGACAGAGTCAGGGAGCACGCGGCGTCGGTGCAGGGCACGGGAGCTGGGCACCTTGCAGCCCATTGCTGCACGTGCGGGCGCAGGCCACGTTTTAGCAGCGTTTCCATTGTTAAAAGACACAGAAATGCCTTTGCGCGCGAGATTCTCGAGGCACTGGCCATTGAGGAAAGACCCCATGACTGCGTGAGCATGCCCTTCATCACGGTCAGCAAGAGAGAAAGGCAGTTTTTGCAGTGTGGAACGGCCCCGTGAAAGGGAATAAGAGGGATATTTGTCGGGCGGTGGTTAGTGGGTTGGGCCAGGGAGGTGTTAGTGAGCAAATTTAATAATTTAATGTAATTAATGTTTTTTTTTCATTTAGTGTTCTAATTTAGTAGTTTAATGTAAGGACCTAGGGTGATTTATTGGCATTACTTTAGGTGTGAATCTTTGGGTCAAAGTGATGAAGAAGAAATATAAAGTCTTAGTTGATAGTCAGTGAGTGTATATGTCAGTTTCTGTTTCTCCCTGTCTGTGTTTTGTCCCTATTGTCTAGCTGACCGTTTACTTTTGAATTATGTACCAACTGGCTCAACTCCAGCCTCTTAGTCCTTGGTACTTGTAAAGCCAGTGCTGCTAACTTCGAAATAAGTTTACTCCTAGTCAAATGCCAAAAACGAAGTTAAATTTGGAGCGAAATCAGATATATAGATTTTCGGTTTTGTGCAAGATACAGAGAAACCATTTAATTTTAAAAAAATAAAAATAAATGACCAATGATAAACCACAAAAATACACTGCCAAAAAAAAAAAAAAAAAACAGCAACAACAAAAAAATCCTGACAATGAAGGAAAATAAATCCCAGACCCCTGAAACACGAAACCCTATTACTTCGTCTCAGCTTCGATCCAGACGCAGCCGACGCTGCGAGGTAACCGGATTCATCATGCAACGTCAAAAGAGCAAGTCACTAGGCCTTTTTCCGTTTATAATTAGTTCCGCGACGTTAGAACACGCCCAGAAACCTGACGAAGGTCATGGTGGTGCGTTTTCTGTCGCTCTCCATACTGAAAAATAGTAAGGAATTACATTTAGGATTGCTCAAAGCTAAATTATAATTAATTTCAATTACAATTACCTTCCTATAAAAGTAAGTGACCGTTAGCCCAAAAAGGCATCCGTTACTTTTTCACTTTCGTGGCGTTACATTCAACATTATTGTCCTCAAGTAAGAAACAAAAGGAAGTGAGTTATTAGATTTCTTATTGTTACCACTTGTTCCGTTTATTGACCTTGAGCAACATATGGCTCTAGAAAGCATCGTCGGACATCTTGCGTTATTTCTTACTGAAGATGTCGACCGCTACACTGAACACACTCTGAACTGAGCCACTGGATGGGAATGCCATGTCGTACCTCGCGAATGCTTCATGCTCTGCAGTGAGCTGTTTCCGAGAAGCAATTGAAGTGCAATTTACTTAGAAGATACAGCAAAGCTTTGTCATTGCGGCCGTTGCCTAATATTCGAGGGTTTAAGTGGATCGTTCCGATATCTCTGATACTTCTGATAACGATTCACGATAACGGTAGGGTGCATGCGCAAAGGCTGCGGTCATCGGAACGATCTTCTAAAACTCTTTAGTGTCGAAGTCCCGAAGTTTTAGAAGTCGTCATACAGCTAGCCAAAACTGGAATAAGAATTGATTTATGTGCTTAGTTCTTACTATACAGGCATATATTTCCAGACAATAGCAAAACATCGTTGGTAACAGTAAGGTGATAATTCGTTTTACTTTGGTTCTGAACAGGTCGAGCCTCGGTTGAGACGTTGGTGGATAAAAAACGTTTTCAATATATAAATATAAGCAATAAGAAAAAAAAACAACAGAACACCCATAAAAAGGATTAAGTAGAACGTCGGTTAAAACAGGGAAATATGTAAACGCACGTTTACCATGTGTATGTTTTGACGCCGTTCAAAAGCACACGGAGCACGGACCGACTGCAGTTTACTCCGGTGTTCTCCGGGTAGAGGTCCGCTCATGCCACGGGCAGCGAAAGGGAGAGAACTCAGCCACATTAAGTGTGCATTCAGACTGGCGTTCGAAACGCAACCACGAAGCGGATCCGCTCGTTTTCATCATCAAACGCGCGAGAAATTGCACTGGATTTCTAAGCAACCGCGTTCGCAACCGCTTTGCGAACGCGGTTCAACCGCCAGTATGAATGCGGCATATGGGCTTCACTCACGAGTGTCACTCTCTCCTCAAGCCCATAATCTTAAGTCTACGTCAGCCACCATTCTGCTTTATTTGTAAAAATTTCTGCCTAAAATAAGATGCGTTCTGCTGGAGTAAAAGTTTAAAAAAAGAAAGAAAAAAGACGACTATTTCCATTTTTGAAGGGCTCGCAAAAAGCTAACGCGCAAAAAAGGTTACTGAGATGCATATAACCTGGCTGGAATTAACAAGTAAAGCGGGCCAACCCCAGAATTCGGACTACAAAAACATGAGTAGCTTTCCAAAGTAATGCCAAATAAGGTGAAAAAAGGCAGAAAAAATATACGTTTTGTTTTTTTCACAAAAGTTGAGGAGTGACAAAAATAGTCCCTGGAGAAGGAGAAAAAGAGGGACAAAGGAACAACACAAACCTCCAAACACAGATAGGTTTCGAGAACCTTAAAATGCAAGCTTTCACCCATGTTGGTCTTAGCCTTGTGGCAGCTTATAAAACCTGTTGCCTCTACTGACGTCTAACCCCTGGTTAGCTCAGTTGGTAGAGCACTTCACTGGAAATGGAGGGGTGCCGAGTTGCGGCCCGCTCACCTAGCTGTGTTTAGAGATTTGTGTTTTTTTCCTTTGTCCCTCTTGTTTCTTTTCTTCACAGAATATTTTCGTCATTCTTGTCCAGCTCACTCCTCACCTTTGCATTTAATTGCATTATAATCATTGAGAAGTGTGCAGCCAGGAACAAGGATGCTCGTGGCAAGAAAACCTTCACATATTGTCACACCTCTTTTAGGGGATTTTAGGGTAGGGGGAGCGTTCTCTCTTGTGAAATTATGAAGATAGACGTAGTCACTAAAACCGAGAAGGACGTTGTAAATACTTGCCTGTGCACTTACCTCCTCAACCCTCTCGAAGAGGCACATAATCACTTGGTGTCCCTCAGCGGACATAGCTTGCCGCCCACACGTTTTACACACACACACACACGCTTGCCGCCCACACGCCCACACGTCCACACACACACACACACGTTTTATTTTTTTTTTTTTTTTTTGTAGAAGTGCGTATTTGGATATTTTGATATTGCTTTTAGGGTCTCAAAATGTATTCATATAGATCCAGAAAAGGGTTTGGGGAACGGAAGACTGCCAAGCCTCCCAGTGAACGTGATGGTGTGACTGCGCTTGACTTTACCAAAATAAGACCAACCTTTTTTTTTTTTACAGCGCAGCTTTTAGGCGTCTGTTTCCGGCTTGAGTGGCGTCGCCGTCGCCGTCGCCGTGGACGTTGGCATCGGCGTCGGCGTAACCTCGTGCGTTGCATTATCGGAATAATGCAACTGGGCGTACTTGTGCGTTGCATTAGAGAGAAATGTTCCCGCTAAATATAGCGGGAAATTTTCCCAGCTAAATATGGCGGGAGATTTAGCGAAAGTTTTCCGCTAAATGGGAGGCGAGAAGGAGGGCAAGGTACGAGGGGGGGGGAGGGGCATACCCTCCGCTCCGTAACCTACCCTCTCCTCTTCCTCCTCAAGAGCTGCGCTCTAATTCGGCATTAGGGACAACTGTAAATGTCTTTCATTATTTGTTTTCTTTTTTTAGGGGGGGGGGGGGGGGGGCCTCGTGAAAAGAAATGTGAGGGATTACAACAAATCCGTTACATAAATATGCAAAGGAATTACTTTACGATTACTAGAGCAAATATGTAATTATTCTGTTACTAAATTACTAAGAAAGTAAGGGATTACAAGTAATTTTGTTTCTTGTAACGGATTACGCACAAGTCCAGTCCCATCATCGTGTTCCGTCGGCTTCGTCTCGACTTAAACAGCTTTTGTAGCAGACGATGCTGACGTCAGTTAAGTTGATCGCGGGTATCAAGATCTATCAACGAACCAAAAGCTTGTAAACGTGAGCACCAATTTTTTATCGCAATATATTTTACTTTTACGAATATTTTTTTGCTTTATTCAAAAAAAGTTCGCGTAAACTAGTGAGAGCATTTGGGTAGGGCCACAAGGCCCACTTCAAGCAGCCAGATCCTTTGAGCTGGCGTCTTTGTCGCAAATATAAAAAGTTGTATACTACAGCTACGGCCATGCCGTTCTGCTCCCGCTCTGCTGGGCGTGCTGCAGTAGGAAAGACCAAACGAGACAAGAATGAGAAATGGGACGCAATCATCCGTGCTAGAGTGCACTGCTGAATGGAACTCTGTTCCAGTGAACGCTTTAAATAGTACGCGTCTGTCCACTTTTCTCGTTGAATAATTTCATGTCACTTCATGTCGCGGAGAGTGTTAAAACTGTAAATCGGTTTATGACTGGCACGCTCCGACTCCACAGCCGGCCATTTACTCGAACGAATTAAAGAACAAACGAAAAGACCAGCCACTGACCGATGATATCCAATGACATCTAAAGGGCTTTTGTTGACGAGTTCTGCGGACGCAAACGCCCGTAGAACCCATCGGCAGCAGTTGCCGGCGTTCCGCGGATTTCCTTTCTTGTCATGATAACGTCCCGAAGAAACATGCGCAGAATGCAGGCCGCACTTCATTCTTATGTCGTTCGAATGTTGTCGTCTCCCGAAGTGACACCTAGGAAAAGGTTCGAGGTCTTGACGA